CCATCTGCATTATGTGTCAGAGTAAGGTTTATGTTTTGAGGCCAGTTGTGTGTGTGTGCACATTTTTCAGAAGGGTTCTCTGTGTTATCTCAGCTGCTCTGGTGTCCAGTTTCTCCTTACTCAGCAGGGGCTCCTCATGTTATTTAGCTGAGATTTAGACACAAGGTTATTGTCTATCCACCTATTAAAAACACAGTTTCCAAATTTAATTGTAAATTTAAATGAAGTAGTTTTAGTTAGCAAATTTGCTCAGTTAATGCTTTTTCAATTATTGCAACCCCAAATTGAAAATTGTGATTTTCTCTTTTATTCTGTATTATTTTCCAGGCTGCTCTTTTCCATACAAGGAAAGTAAATGGGGACATGATCTGTCAAGCTCTGAAATGGACACAAAATCTACTTACCATATGACTTATACTTAAACATATGTGTGGTCTATTACAAGTATTCTGCAGTCATACACCTGATTCAAAGCTTTGAGTTTGGTGTTTTTATGCATATACAATTTTTTCTTATGTTTCTTATGCTCACCAAGGCTTTTTTTTCTTTTAATCAAAATCTTTTTAAATATATTTTACAATTTTTACAGTTATTTAAAAGGGTTAATTTATTCCTGTAATGGAATTTTCAGGAGCTATTACTTCAGTCTTAACATGCTGATTTGGTGCTCAAGCAACATTTCTTATTACCAGTGTTGAAAGCAGTTGTGCTCTTTAATATTTTTGTGGAAACGGTGATGCTTTTCCCCCCCCGGATTCTTTGATGAATAGAATGTTCAAAAGAACAGCATTTATTTGAAATAGAAATCTTTTGAATCATTATAAAAGTTGAATTTTGAGAAATGGGTAGCTAATTAAAAACTGCTGTCTTCTAAACTATATGATTAGCTTGTAACAAAGATTGAGTGTATTACTTGATAGTGATCTTCTCTGAGATTGTAGGTTTGAATTCCAGTAACACAAGGCCTAATCTCATTACCAGAAACACAGCTGGCCACACTTTGAGCTAATCATTGATCACATTCTTTGAAATGCTTAAGAAGTTCCAGCGGTGAGCAGTCAGCATCTGCATTTCAGGCTAATCTGACAGATATACCATGGCCTGCATGTCAGGTAACACAAAAGGCATAGGCGACACTTGACTGATTTCTGGAGTCAGCAACCTCCTGGACCGCTGCAGGAATTCTGCCGTCAGGAAGAGAATTAGGATATAGGAAATTAAGCAAATTTGGGAGTGAGGCTAAATTACAAAAGGATGCTCTTGCTAAGTCATGTAACAGTTAAAGTTGCTGTAGGTTAGAGATGATTTTATCTGGCTAATAACTCCAAGATGTTGTCGTCCATCTGTGTTTTTGCATGTTTTGATTTAGGGACAAATACACTTGTCAACCATTTCCTTCTCTTTAAGAGTCTGCATTATATTAGTCATCACCCAATCTGTTCTTGCTTTGTATACTGTATACATTACTGTTTAAAAGTTGTGCTTGTTAAATATAATTTTTATTTTAAATATTTTTACTCTTGTAAATTATGTAACAATTTAAGTTAAATGTTAAATAGAAAATTTTACTTGGAAATAGTCCAAAATTTTAAATATTTCTTCATTTTTGTCAATTCTTTGTTTAATTACCCCCCACCGCACCACCCCTGGAAAAAAAAAAACTAAAATTGTTAATCTTCAGGTTTAAATTAGATTTTCAAATCTTTACTTTTCGATGTGGAAACTAAAGACTTATCAACACCATTGCACAGTGTTGTTCAAATTTTGGGTTGGTAAGATCTTTGTTTTTGTAAAGTGTCTTATATGCACACCAAGGCATTTAATTGATCAAAAACATTACAGCCATTACTCCAGTCTTCAGTGTCACATCAGAGAAATCATCCTAATATGCTGATTTGGTGCTCAAAAGAAAGATTTCTTATTATTATCAATGTTGAAAACAGCTGCTTAATATGTTTGTGGAAACCATGATGAATGAATGAAAAGTTAAAAGAATGACATTTATTTGAAATGGAATTTTTGTTTCCCTTCCTTCCTCATTGTTGTCATCCTACGTCTGTCCTTGCCTGTGGTGTTTTTTTAACTTCCTGTTTGTTTGAAGAAGAGTTGGTACCATCTGGGGTTTAGGTTTATCGTCTTTGTTGTCCTCAACTGTGCATTTCTATCCCTGTCTATGTGTTCTTTTACTTAAATTTCTTCAGAAGTTGAGCATTTGTCACTTCAGTCATTCGCTGTTTCTTATAGTCATGCTGAACTTCAGCATACCTGATTTATGCCACATTCTTATGATGATGCCAAAACGCCAGCATACCTGATTTACGCCACATGCACATTAAGAGTCCATTTACAGCAGCATGAATTTATTTATTTTTTTTCTCTGGTTCGGTCTGTCCACATTTGACTAAATATAGGATTCAGCAAGGCTTCCGTCCAGCTCCAAACCCTCATTTCAACTGAATTTATATTCTGATAAATATTTGATGTCTGATGAATGGAGTCTCTGGTTGGTATGTTGGTCAGGCCTCAGTGTTATGAATGTAGGGCTGTAATTATATCAGAGCTCTTTGGAGTAGACTGTCATTAGTCAGACTTGATTTGCTGGGCTGCATTAAGAGGCAACTGACCACAAATCTGCAATAAAAGGGAAGAAGAAAGCCATGCCGGCACATTTTCCACCCTATGGCCAATGTTACATATAGCCTTCATACTGGAGTGAAACCTTACTATCAGGTCAAGTATCATTTGAATGCTGAAAATCATTTCCTTTTAAAACAAAAATGCAAACAAAATTGTTACAATTGAATAAACTTTTTCTACAGTAGAATTTATTAAAGGGGTCATATGACTTTGCTAAAAAAGAACATTATTTTGTGTATTTGGTGTAATGAAATGTGTTTATGCGGTTTAAGGTAAAAAAAAACACGATTTTCCACATACTGTACATTTTCCACATACTGCATTATTTGTCAGCATCATAGACTGTATAGGGTCAGCATGCGCACCAAAGGGGAAACAGGGGAACTGAATTCACAGGAACACCAGCATTGTAGGCTACTCTCCCAGGAAACCGTCCTCGTCCTCCGTAAAATGCGTTGCACACATCTGAATATTTGGGTTGAACTGTTCTGGAACAGTGTTGTAAATACAACTTAACCACTGATTTCTAGTTGTGTCCTCTTTTGGAAGACCAAACAAAGTAGTTTCACTTTCACAACGAAACACACAGCGTCTCCACAACATGGCGGCGGCAACAACGATACTACAGCGAGATTCAAAGTTACGCCTTCTTTCTTTGCGTATACATTTGGGCGGCGTTATGCAGATCTTCCCACATCGTAACGTAGACATGTGGGGCCGTGTTTAAACGAGGCGTTTTAGGAGGGCGTGGATGAGTCTTAACTTTTATAAAGATTATCTCTTTGGGTTTGAGACTTTAGTCTTCGCAACTATAGGGATCTTATCTATTCACAGCTTGCAACACTCCAAAGAGAAAGGAAAACTTGAAATCGCATCATATGACCCCTTTAACAAAGCTATGCTTGAAATACACTGTAAAAAATAATTTTCTGAGAAATAAATAAAACAAAGATAGTAAAAGTATGTTTTACAAAATAGTATAAAATAGTAAATTAGTAAATAGTAAATTTACTAGCAATTTTTTTTTTTACTAATAATCTAACGTTATCTTGGATGTCCACAAAAAGTCATTAAATATTTTTTTTGCAACAAGAAGGTAACAGTAAAACAAATAGGTGGATGCACAATTAATATATTATTATTATTATTATTAATTGGTATCCTGAAATATATTAAAATATATTGAATATTTCATTGTGAATGCTCATTTCAACTCTTTTTTTTTTAAGATTACTTTTACTTTAGTTTACTGTTAAATGTAATCTTAAAATCTTAGAATATCCATCTTTTGTACTGTACATCATAATCTAGTGACGCCTAAATTTACTTTTTTTGTTGGTTTGTTTTCAGCCACAACATGAAAATAGTTATCAATATTGGCTAGAATTTTAAATTTAAAAAAAAAAGTGCAGCACGAAAAACAAATGTTTTAGACAGCCTTATACAACCAAGCCACGCCAAAGTCTTTAAGAATGGTGCAGTCACAGACAGGTAAGCATTATGATTACTGTGGAAACTGACTAGTTGAACAGGAGTAGCATATTAATTTTATGTATATTCAGTTCATTAATTTCAGAAACCGTACAAGTTTTCAGTAAAGCTGTGAATTAATGTAGAGCCTGTTTATTTATTTATTTATTATTATTATTTTCTTTTCAAGTACACACAGTAGTTTTACACTTTTGTTTCTTTCATCAGTCTTTCTCCAAAATGACCGCAGGGATGTCCTCCTCATAATATGGCGGGTTGTCCTGTGAAAATCTGCATTTCTGTTGGCTTTTTGTTTAAAACTAGCTTAGTTTTGGCAGTAAAGATCACCAGTAAATTGCGGTGAGAGGAAATTTAGGCCTTGGATGTTTGCTTTGGAATGTTAAAAGAGCTTAAATTATTCTCGGCTTTCTTCGAAAGGGCTTATTATAGGAGGAGAAAGATGTATAATATTACTGTTGGTCTTGAGACAGCCTTAGTAGTTTGTCTGTATGTTTTTATAGTGGTTTTGAAGGCTTGGATACAAAAAGCCATTGGTAATGATACCAAGCTAATTGGATTTCTGACGTCCAACTGGAAAGCATACAGATAATTTTTTTCCCCCCCCACTTCTCATAGAATAAATGATTCCAATGTAAGAGTGTGAGAGATTTTACGAGACTCAAACAGTTCTAAATGTTCAGTGTTTGTTATTGTGGTTGAATAAGTGACTCATGTTGAATGGATCACTCATACATGATTCTGTGCATTTGAAAACGTTCATGTTCGGCTTTGTTTCAAAAGTACAAAACTATCTGCAAGCAGATAAAATTCTAATCAAGTATTCAAAAGAGAAGAAAATACATATATATTTTGTCTTTCTCATTTTTGTTTAGGAAGTCAATCCCTCAGTCCCAGTTTCCATCACAGAGTTCAGGAAGAGGGGTTTGCGGTTATTCAGAATCATGGCAGTGGGCCGCTGCCAGTACAGCCGTACCCTGCAGAGGAGATGCTGAGGCCGAGTTTGACCAGAGGAGTGTCCGTCTCCCTCCCTTCCTCCCCCCTGCTCCCTCCCCGCCAACCATATGTTTCGCCAGTCTGGTCCAACAAGTCACCAGGTACGTAACAGTCAATTTTTAAATGTACTTGGAGTGTATGATATTGACAGTTTGAATAAATGACTCAATAACTCAAATCATTAATACTCATTAATACATTGATACTTTAATGCATTAATACTCAACTAATTTATACACATTACAACAATAATTGTGATATTATCATAGACTTTTATAGACTTATCATTATTAAAGACCCATGGTTGTATCACCCAAGTAATTTCAGGTTTCACATTACATACAGTACAAATACATTCAGAGCTAATGAAAAATGCATTTTTACAATGTGAGATAGGATTAAAGATAAAGTATGTCTGTTTGGGTACTATCCTAATGGTATGTCTGGTTCAAGTAGTATGCTGTATATTATACACAATAGACACATCATTTACATTTATAGTACTATGGCTTTGTCCTCTTTAAGAAGTTCTGCAGCTGTGATTTATGTAATGCACAAACTGTGCCATCTATTGGTGCTGACTTCACAGTGTAGACCAAAACTGTTTTAACTCAAAAGCCCTTCATTTTCTAACATTCAAAGGCCTCCCAGATAAGATATTTCCTCCTGTAATTCTGCTGCTTGATTTAACTTTTTTATTAGCATAAACTGAGTGCCACTATATTAAATGTATTTAATATGATTAATTCTGTGATTTCACAATGGTATGTTCTGTAAAAAAAAAAAAAACAATAGTTTGAGGGGGTAAGAAAATAAATATGATTTCAGTTTATTTTATGTATGTGTATTTGTTTTTTGTTTTTGAAGAATTTTAAATATAAAAGTCATCCAGTGGCCCACATGCCCCTGATTAGGAGCAACAGACTACCTCACAGTCTATGCCAGCAATTCTCAACTGATGTTTCGGAGGCCTGTGACAGCAGGACAAAAAATGGCAAATGCAAATATTCAGAAATGTAATATAACTGTATAATTATGCATCATATGACAGTAAAATAATAGTTTTATAACTTTTAAAAGACAAGAAAAAACTTTAAAATGTGTGTATATAATCGAACTCTCAGAGCAGATTAGTACATTCAAATATAGTGTGCAGTGAATTAGTGGCCCAGATTTTTTTTTATATTTACATATGAATTTTAATAGATTTCATGTTTGATTTAAGGACATATTTGGTAACTTTTGTACAATAATGTTTCTGTGATGCTCAATAATATCAAATGGGAGTCTCGAAGCAAACTGTTTGAGAACCACTGGTCTGTGGTTATCTAATTTTTTCTTTAGGGCTAATAACTTGTAACTGTGATTGATTTATTGATTAATTGATTGATTGATTGATTAATCTAATTCAAAAAGTAAGACTGATTACCTTGACTAACTACTAGTTTGCCAGACTAGTTCTAAAGACATAGTGAATGTGTTTATGCAGCTAGCCCCTAGTAAGGAATCCCATTATAAAACAAAAGTCAGAGCCATTGTGAGGCCAAAAGTCAAGGCTCAAAGTGTAGGTTCAGTTGATTGCCAGACTTTAGGATGAGTGTAGGTCAAGGTGAACTTGAGTGGGTTCATACATTGACATGTTTCTTAAAATGCAGTCTTTTCCAAATGTGTGATTAGATAAACTGTACATATTTAGCTTGCTGCTATAGATTATTTGCAAATTGATGAATGAAACGGTATCATATACTGTGTAATATGTATTATGTTATCATTGTGATATTGGTAGCTCTGTGCTCATTCACACTGATGGCTGAGCTAAGAGCTGCCAATCACATTGCAAGAGAAACACTTGGCAGGAACTCGCTCAGTATTCTGGCAGCGTTTGGTGATTGTTCTTCCCACAGTCTTGCACCTCAGGTTGTGTGATCATACCCACGTCAGCCCTATGTGAATTGTTTAGAATGCTTTGCAGAAGAAATTTTGTTTAAAAAAAAAAAAAAGAGAAATGTAACAAATGTTATCATTAATCTACTTGATTTACTCCTACATTTTAGATCCATTCTAATGTTTAAGTAGCAATTTACAACAGTCACATTCTTGTTTCATAGTATTTAATTTTATTATCTGTCATTATATTTCTTAAAAGCGTCTGTTTCTCTCCTGCTATAAGCATTTCCCATTATAAAGTAATGCTTAATGGAAGCATTCATGTGCTTGCAATGCTGCGTCTGTTCCTGTAGGTGGCAGTATACACCACTTTTCATCAACATGAACTTAAAATGTGCTTAATACATGTTCCTGGTCTTTTTCTACACAGTTCATTCACAGTATTCAAAAAAATAAAAAGTTTGTCTTAAGTTTTTCATCAAAATGAAAGTTTTCACTTATGTCAGTCGGATTCAAGTCATCTGTAAATACTGTTGCACAAGGAAACTACTATGCGAACGCTGTGTCAGGTTGATTTTAAAACAGAGAGAAAGCCTTTCACATTCTTACCTTGTAGCAAACACTTTTCATCCAAAGCATTGTACTGAAAGCGACATGTAATTACATGACAGTCCCCATCAGGCAAACTTTTGTTAACTGCCTAACTCCAGGATGTAGATGTGATAGAGTTGTGATTGTGCTAATAGTCCAGTTCCTGAGTCAAACCTACATTGATTTGATCCTACAGCACTAATCTCTCAGATCCTTCACTATTGTTTTCCTTCAAACAATCATTAACTGTGTAATCTAATATTACCAGAGGTGCAAGAAGAGTCTGAAAAGTCGAGGTGACACATTGCCCAAACAAAGTCCAGACTAATTTGGAAATGCATCTGCCTTGTCACCATTTCACATTGGCTGCCTACATTTAGTTTTTTGTGTGTGTGTGTGTGTGTTGTGGCCGATCAAAACAAAGCTCTTAAAATATAATGGTTATTTCCCGACAAGTGGGTAGGGGTGAACTTCATTTCTGAAAGTGGGAATAACGTGTCAGTTGCTACAGCCCTGAATATTATTTCCAAATCTGAGCGCCAGTGGAGATGTCGGTCGTTATTCTCGTTTCAGGCTCCTGTCTGATGTTTGAGGCTTTGTATGAGGAACCGCTGTGAAGTTAAATGGAACAAATGTTCTTGCAGACGAGTCAGGGCTGTGAATGAGCTGATTCAGCTAGTGGTTTGTGTGCTGAAGTAACCCTGAGATTGTATTGACTGTAATATTACTTGGAAGTAATATTACTTGGTCTAGTATAGACTAAATAATAAACTATTATTGTAGCTTGGTGTCATTTTTTTTGTTTTTCTCGAAAGAAATGAATAATTTTATTCAGCATAGATGCATTAAATTGATCAAAAGTGACATTAAAAAACATTTACATTGTTACATAAAAAATCGTAAACCTTTTATTCATCTAAGAATCATGTGTAAAACATATCAAGGTTTCCACAAAAATGTTAATGAACTGTTTTCAATATTGATAGTAAAAAAAATGGTTCTTGAGCACCAAATCAGCATATTAGAATGATTTCATCATGTGAAACTCAAAACTGGAGTAATGGCTGCTGAAAATTCAGCCTTGTCATCACAGGAATAAATTACGCGTTAAAATGTATTCAAATAGAAAACAGTTATTTTAAATTGCAATATTAATTCACAATATTACACTTTTACTGAATTTCTGATCAAATAAATGTAGCCTTGGTGAGCATAAGAGACTTCTTTCAAAAACATTGAAAAATCTTACCAACCTCCAAACTTTTGAACATTAACTCTAAGCACTTCTATGCTTTGGCAAAATTGTATATGTTGACAATCATGCCAATAAAGCTCGACTCTGACTCAGCTGACACAGGAGGAACTGCTCAGGGAGATTAAAATCATTACAGACTCCTCGTTTATACTGGAATCTCTCTGGGAGTACAGGACAGCCGATCACAACTGTCACACACACACACACACACACAAGCACAAGCATATCCACATGCAGCTCTGCCTAGAGATTCAGATCGCCAGCTTCAAAATCCCATCTGGAAAGACTTAACTGTCTCTGTGTGTGTATGTGCGTCTCTCTCACTCTCTTCCTCCTCCCTCCCTCTCTTTCTCCCTCTCTCTGCTCCGGTCTTTCTCTCATTTTTGCTCTGTCTGCAGGTTCAATCAGGACACCCAAATATGTGGAGAATCCTCATGTTTCTGGAGATTCTGTCACCTGTGCTCTGAAGAACAGGAAAAAGAACAATACTGGTGAGTACTTCTGTGTGTGTACCAGTTGGTCAATTAAGAAATGTATTCTTTTATATGAATGTTTGCATTTGTAGCTTCATTGATTTTTTTTGTGTGTGGGTCAGGTTTTGTTACATTGTGGACCAGATGTCCCCACAAGGATAGTAAAGAGATAACCAGACATAACCTACATTTTATGAATCAATAAATATTGAATACTTCCTTAATGGAAATGCTTGTGTGAGAGTTAAGTTAGGAGAAATTAAAATATCATTACCTCAATATAAAAACCATGGAAGTCAATGGAAAGTCCCCACAGTCTTTGAGTGAGATTTGCCCTTGTCGTAAGCTGAGGGATGGTGTTTAAGATGTGGGGAGTTACATGAATTTACAGCTGAGAGTTCAGTAAATCCAGCAGTCCATTAAACCACATTCCTCCCTCCCTCTTTCTGACGTGGTATACTTATGTCTTCAAGGGCCAATCTTTCTCTTTTCTCCTGCTTGGAATTCTTTTTCTTTGTAGAATGCTGACCTGTGATTGTATGTGTTGGCGCGCTCAGTGTATTACTCAATCTGTCATTTTTGGTGATGTGATGCTGTGGAATCCAGTTAGGATGGCAAATTTCAGCTCTGCAATGTAAAATCTAATTGGAATATGTGTGAAATCTGGAGGATTACAGGTGGACACACAAAGAAAAGGTCACACAATGATTGTGTTAGATGTATTCACACATAAAATTGAAGTTCAAATGTTTGAGACCACTAGTAAACATGTTTTTGTATTTTTTCCCTTAAAGGCTGCATTTATTTGATCAAAAATGCACAAACAGTTATATTGTTAAATATCATTACAATTTAAAAAAAAAGTTTTCTATTTTAAGATATTTAACTCTTTTTGTATTATATTTATATTTTCATGTATTTTATTTCTGGGATGGCAAAGCTGAATTTTCAGGAGCCATTACTCCAGTATTCAGTGTCACATGATCCTTGAGAAATAATTCTAACATGCTGATTTAATGCTCAAGAAACGTTTTTTATTATTATTAATGTTTAAAACAGTTGTGCTGCTTAATGTTTTTATGGAAACCATGAGACTTTTCTCCGTATTCTTTGATGAATAGCAGTTCAGAAGAATTTGAAATAAATATTTGTAACAACGTAACTTTTTGCTGTCATTTTTGATCAATTTAATGAGTCCTTTCTGAATAAAAGTATTCATTTAAGTGGCACTTTACATAATAACTTTTTTAAATGATTATTTTTTTATCCTAAAAAAATTGATTTCCAGGTGAACTGGAAAAAAATCCCAGATTCTGTGTGATCTCAAAAGTTTGCTCCACACTGTAAACGCAAACACACATGCAAATATTGCCATCTAGACAGCAGTTGTTTTCATGTTTATGGACACACAAACACACGCAGAATCACACAGATGACACATTCACAAATGTCCCCTAATTAAAAGTCATTTGTTATCTTTGGACCCTCTCCCTAGACACCTCTGTTCTATTTCAGGGAGTCATTATGGTTGCTTTGGCCTTTCACTAATTTTATACATCTAGAATATTGGTGCATTTATAAAACATTAGTTATGAAGCAGTCACACCCCCACCGTTTGATGATCTCTAATGCAGATTGTGAGAATGCGCCAGATGCGGTGGCCCACTCCAGATGAACCTGATGTAGATGCAAATGAATGATCTCCATGTCAGTTCATTGTCCTGACAGCTGTTCTATAAATGCTTTCCTCCTCTCCCTCCATACCTGTGTGGACTACAAACTGAGCTCAAAATGGACTCTGGGTCACACTGATTTTCATTACCGATCATAGAACCAAGAATCGTGGAAGACTGAGTAAAAAATACACACCGCTACACCCACCGTTCTCCTCCAAAACTGATGACTATGAAGTGCATTAGAGTCTGACTCTTCCTGTGTAAAAGGCGATTATTGTCTCTGTGTTCACTTACTGTTTCCAGAAAGGACGATAAAAAAGCCTTTGTGATGTCATTACAGCTGCCAGCAGCACATCCACCTGTGATTGGGCAAAGTGCTGTGTAGATTGAATGATTTCATCCTGTGATGTAATGACATCTGGTGGATTGGAGTGTTTCTCACCAATGCTGGGCATTTTTCTCCTGATCTCTGATCTTTCTCTATAAACAGAGGGTGAGTGTACGGTTACTTGGGTAGATTTGAAATCAGCTGGGTTGCTGGTATTAGTCAACTTCCTTTGTAAACACTTAGGCAAGAAATATGCTTTTCGCAAGTATGCAGATGCAAATGTTAGACATTCATTCCAAGTGTACAGTCCTATTGTCTATCCTTAAGTCCCGTTCACACCAAGAATGATAACTATAAAGATAACTATATTAGCGTCCACACCAGCGGATGATATCGTCCGTTTATTCCAAGCGCACGCTCGTCTGCCGCTTTAAATTAAATTCGAGCTTGTTATAGCAGGATTGATTCGGATTGTCTGTCAATGTTTTTATCATTCATCAGCTGGAAAAAATCGTTCTGAAAGTGATTCCAACGATATTGTTTCTCTGTGCCTTTATCGTTATAACTGTGGTGTGGAATCTGCTATTCTTTAATATTGAGAACGATTTATAGAACTACATCTTTATCGTTATCTTTATAGTTATCGTCCTAAGCATGCATTCTTGCATTACTGTGGCAGTAACGCAAGCCTACTACCTTAGACCAATTAATAACCAAATGAGTTTTCCATTGGCTTTTGGATTATTGAAAAAAATAAGCTCTGTGGTCAACAAAAGTTAAGCATTTAACAACAAATCCATTCAAAAAATAAACCCTGACTGCAGGACAATGGAATTGGTAGTGCTAACCCGTTTCTGGGTTTTGGGCTACAATGATATGTCACCCCTGCAGCACTCTATATGTGCTGCATCATGAATTGAGTTGACACATTTTTGCTTTTCATTAACATGTTTTGTGCATTAAGGGGCATTCACACTAGCTGTGTGTGCATTGAACCCACAGTAATTAGGGATGCACAGTATTAATACCATATAGGTTATATCTTAGATTTTTTTATTATTTAAAAAAAAAAAATTTTTAAGTATCGTTTCCATATATTAGCCAACATTGGGTATTTAATTGTGCAAACCCATTTCCCTATATTTGTTATTTATTTTATTTTTTTTACCACACTATGTTAAGTCACAAAGTCAATCTTTAAAAACGTAAATAATGTAATAACACCGATAAATGTAATATTTGGCAAATATACATTTTTCATGCTGTGCATTATTATGTCATGATGCCTAAATTTACTTGTAACATTTACAACAATTCTAATTTAGTTTTAGAATTTTTTTTTCACAACAAATAGTCTAGGTATAGAATTTGGAATTTGGAATATTGACGATAACATGAAAATATTTATTGGCTAATGGTCAGAATTTTATCGGTGCATCCATAACCCTAATAATCAGTTTTTAATTGGACAAGTAGTTTAAATCAGTTAGAATAAACTGGTCAGATTTGATTGAAATTTAATTCAGGTGGTGTAAACCTTTGAAAATCTTGTTATAGAGGAAGATATTAGCTTATTAGTTTCCTATTCCTAGTTGCCTAGGAAATCACTGTTTTGAAAGAACAAAAGGTAGCACAGGTACAAGGTTGACTAGCAGAGATCAGTGACATGTTGCAATGCCATGTACTGTCAGTTATAATGTAGTACAGTTACAGTACAGTCAGCATCCACATTTTGAACAAGAGACCAAGCAATACTCAAATTTGCTTAGTCTTAGTCTGAGCCTTAGACACGTCCTAAAGCTCATAGCCCATACGCTTTCATCCAGAGCGTCTCTCACATGTTCCGCCATGTGCTTCTAGTCCGCGCTTGTTTACATCAGAGTGTCTTTCACACAGCATACAGCGGTGTTGTGCGTTTTGACCAGTTGATGGGAAAAGTATTCTTAAAATGCATTCAAAATTCAGAATAATTTGTAATATATAATTATTCACAGTATTTAGAAGTGCCCACCATAACAATATCATGCATATTCATTACCGTGATATATCGCATTACCGAATACCAACACAAGTCTAGTGTGGACTAATGCTGCGCTCTTGAATCTTAGCGTTTCAGCCTTTCGTTTTGATTGAGCTGACAAATCTCTATGGCAACATTGTGTCTGTTCTCTTTGAGCCATGACCAGCATTTTCCACTGATCTCTTCAGAGCATAATCTCCGTGATTCAATTCTAATGAGCACTAATGATTTACCCAGCACAGATCTCTCATCACAGACGATAATACCGCACCGCATCCCGCCGTTTACGCCATACCGCTGCTCGTTGCCTTCCTGATCCGTGCTTTCTCCCCTGTTACATGTGTTTCAGCCATTAGCTGCAAAAATAAACCTTGGAACGACAGGGCTGTAATTTAGATGTCATTTTGCAGGAAAAACTTTGACTCGTTTGACCGAATAAAATCACCAGACTCGTCCAGGTTGACTTATGCAAGTTGCTATGGTTGTCTGAAATAGATGCTTGGCCAAAGCAAATGTAATAAAGTTTAATGGGTCCTTCATTGAATGACAAGTGTGCATTGGCTCAAACTATTTCTAGCATGGAGGCGTGCATGCTTTATATAAATATATAAAATTAACAAATAAGATTAATGTCACCAATGATTTATTGAATGAATCACTTGTTTTTGCTACTTCATATCACGACATCACACATTCTGGCATGTACACAATGGCCTATTAATAAATTAAATGTAACATTTACAACAAAAGGATTGTAAGGATTTGTGGGTGCAGTTGCTGTCAGTGATTGTAGGAAAATGTTTCATTTGAACTTTTCAAGGGTGGGATAACATCAAAGTTAGAGCAACAAGATATAGCCTGTTATTACCCATGTGTGGGATTGCTTTGAAAAAACCATAATCAAAGTTTGATGACAGTTTTATTAATAAGTGTTATCGCCGGAGATAAAAAAGGCTACTCATTGTCTAAACTGATCAGAAAGGATCTTAAATTTGTGTGGCATATAAACATTTATTTTTGACAAATAATGATTATGACTAAGCACTGGCTGCTATAGAGACTGTGAAGACAGAGTGAACGTTCAGCAGATGTTCAGTTAATTTTAGCATTATAGTTAGTACATAGCTGCTGATGTACATCAGGAAGGGTACCTACCCGTGTTCAATTTTAAGGTGTAAATG